TCCAACACTCCACAACCCTTTCCATGAAATTTTTGTCCCTAATCTCCACTTTAACCCCCCTCTGGTGCAACGTGAGGCTGTTCCTTCTCGTCCTGTCCCCTGGGAGCAGAGCCCGACTCCCCCCCGGCTCCCCCCTCCTGTCAGGGATTTGTGGAGAGCCAGAAGGTCCCCCCTGAGCCTCCTTTGCTCCAATCCACGAGGAACTGGCCCGTGACAATCAGCTTTTCCATGACCCCCACGGGGCAGCTGTTGGATCACCGTTGACATTCCTTTTCCGTGCTGTCATTCCCAGCACACGGAACTACACCGTTCCCGACCCCCCCGGCCTCTTCGACGGACACGTCTGGCCCATGTACTTGAAACACAGGAAGGAGATGGAGGACTGTGGTGTGGATGTTGGTAAGTCCTCCCCAAACACAAAGCCTTCGGCCTTGGAGCTGGGAATTTAAGGAATTGGGTGATTCAATCCAAGAAAACCTCGGCTGCAGTGATGCAAAGTCCTATTTTTACTCCCGAGTTGGAATCCTGGCCCCGTTTGTCTGGATAAATACAGGCAGTTTTATAGCTGGGAACTCATTCCCTTTGCTTCATGCTCTGAGGACTTATAAGGGATTAAAAGAAAAAAATAAATAAAAAGCAGGAATTCTTTATAATGGAATAAGGATTTCGCAGGACGTTCTGGTTTTGGGATGGTTGGTTTTTTCCAATAGAGAAACAACTTGTCATTGGGGCCTCTAAAATCTGAAATATTTTAAAGCTAATATTTAAAATTAATCTCCCAAAATCTTTTCCTGATGGAAAAGACTCCAGCCTGACTCCAGCTTTTTTTTTTTCCTTTCCCAGTTTATTTAGATGGCCTGAAGTCGAGGGAAGAACTGTACAACCAAGTCTTTGAAGATATTCACAACAAGCTTTTAAATTGCTCATAGGTAAATAAAATATCTCCTGGGAGGGCTGGAACAGGGGGGGGATCGTGCTGGGAACACCTTGGATACTCATCCTTTCCCTTCTTGCTTTCCAGGGTCTGGGAAGACCTGGAAGACCCATGTACAGCCTGATGTAAATAATACTTGGAAGTGGGAAGGAGGGTTTATTTGTGGAAACTCTTCTCCTGCTGCCCTTTGGCAAGTCCCTTCTGTATATAATTGAAAACTGAGGATAACTTATTCCCAACCCCATGGACAGGATGGCCTTGGTGGGTTTTTTGGTTTTGTGTTTTTGTTTGTTTTTTTTTTTAATTATTTTATATTCCAAAGAGAAGTTGGAAAAGCATTTTTATAGCAGACCAAGTAGAGCTGCGCTGGGAAAACAACAGATCTCCTGCTCCTGCAGACAAAAAGGCTTCAGGCAACAGCTTGTTTGTAATATCATCTCTCAAATTCAGTAAAAATCCACTTAAATCTCCTTCTCAGGTCCTGATTTAATTCATCTGGGCACGAAACTCCCCCAAAACACGACACCCACCCCCCTTTTTCTGTTGTGTGTTTGAAATCCCAGCCCTGGGTGGCCTCAGAGCTCCTTCCTCGTGTGGCTGGTTGGGTTTGGGGGCTCCCAATGGGCCCCCAGAGAGGTGGGAATGGCCCTGGTTGGGTTTGGGGGCTCCCAACAGGCCCCCAGCGAGGTGGGAATGGCCTTGGGAATTCAAGGTGAGCTGGTGGGATTTCTCAGGGGATGAGAACTTGGAACTGTGCTCCCTTAGGAAGCATTTCAGGAGTTCACACTAAACCACCACCTGAATTTCAGTTTGAAAGGAGCAGCACTGAGACCCCCTCGGGGTTTGTTTGCTGATTGATCCATCCTTAACTCCCTGTGGATGCAAATTCCAGCCTGGGATCCCTCCTCTGGACACCTGGTGGGTGCTGGAGACCTCTTGGGTCCCACAGGAGGGGAGGGGGATGTGTTTAACCCATGGACACACATGGCCAGGGCCTGGGTGAGCCCATTCCAGGTGGGATCACTCCTGAGCCTTAGGGGACAACTCCAGGGCAGCCCTGCGGTGTCCTCGGCTCACTCTGACAGTCCACACCACTGTAATTAGCTGAGCAGGTTAATTAACACCGGGGCGAGATGGAGCACCCCAAAATGTGCTGATTCTCTGGGAATACAGTGGCTGAAACCAGCAGTGCCATGGGAATGATGTCCCTGAGCACGTGCAGGGCCGTGTCAGTACAGAACCTCCCGTGGGATGAGCTCCACAGCCCCTGGAATAACTTGGCTGATGGGTCCCTTCCCAAGATTTTGGGGCCTGAGTCAGAAACAGTGCTCTGGAAAAGCAGCTGCCACAGAGTAGTGAGGAATCACCCAAAACCCCCACCCTGTTCCAGGGGGTGTTTTCAGCAGCCACAGGGGAGCCACATCCACCACCTCATCCTTGCCTTACTCCCGATTATTTTCTGGAGCGGGGATGCCGCGCTCCGAGGGAGATGTGGATCCCTCTGGAATCCCCCTGGATTCCCCAGGCTATTCCCAGCCCTGAGCGTGCCTGGGGAGACCCACAGCACTCTGATTACACCATTCCAGGGCTGAGGGACACCCCGGCCAAGGACACCCTGCTGTGCCCTGTCACCCACACCGCGACCTGTCACCCACGTTCCTGCATCCGTCGGGCATCGGCACACGGAGCATTTCCCACGGATTAGCTGCAGCTCAGCTCCCTGGCAGGAGAAGAGATCCCAGGGGGATGCAGCTGGGAGTTTCTGGGGGGGTTTCCTGCGTGTTCACGGGTTGGTTGAAGCCGTTGCGGGACTGTTTGGATTTCGGGAAGACTTATAAGGGAAAAAAAAAGCCTCGCTCCCGCCTCCCACCAGGCTCTGGGAAGAGGGAATTAAAGCCTAAAAAAGGCATTTTGGTATTGTCTGATCACAGAGAATGAAACATCCCAGGGTGGTGTCAGCTCTGGCTGCAAGGAGGGGAATGGAGGCGGAACATCCTGGGATGTCACAGCACCGGAATCTCAGGGGAGCAGCACATCCCCTCAGCTCCGAGCACGACACCACTTCCTAAGGGGTTTAATATTTGCAGAATCACCAAATCATGGAATTGTTGAGCCTGAGAAGCCCTCTAAGACCATCAAATCCAAGAGTTCCCCCAGCACTGCCAAGGCCACCACTAATCCACGTCCCCAAGGGCCACATCCACAGGGCTTTTAAATCCCTGCAGGGATGGGGACTCCAGCACTGCCCTGGGCATGCTTTTCCAGTGCCTGATCACCCCTTCCATGAAGAAATTTTCCCTGATATCCAACCTAAACCTCCCCTGGCACAGCTTGAGGCTGCTTCCTCTCATCCTACCCCTTGTTCCCTGGGAGCAGAGCCCAGCAGGGCTCCCCCCTCCTGTCAGGGAATTGCAGAGCCAGAAGGTCCCCCCTGAGCCTCCTTTTCTCCAGGCTGAGCCCCCCCAGCTCCCTCAGCCCCCTCCCATCCCATTGGAACTCCCAGCTTCCTGGCAGTATTTCACCTCCTGGACACTTTCTCCCCAGCAAATCCCTCTTTTCCCCCTTTTTTGCAGCTGTGGCAGCACCAGAACACCCCAAATCCTGCTTTTTAAAAATTATTTTGGTTTTTTTTTGTGCATCCCCCTGGCTAAGACCCCCCCCTGCTGCTCCCTCTCCAGGGCAGGGCACCTCCCGGCCGGGCTGAATGACCGGTGACTTCCAAGAGTTTTTTGGGAGGGTGAAACCAAACCCCTCGGCACGAGGAGAATCCAGGAAGCCTTTGCACTATGTGAACTTTGCAGGGTCGGGAACAGGCGGTGCTACAGGATTTCCATACATCCTCTCAGCCTGGTGAGGGAGCAGCAGATCAAATGGCCGCGGCTCCAGCTGAATCCACACCCCAAAGTCTCCCCCGGAGCCCTGGGAAGCAGCATCCAGAGGGAAGCTGGTGATTCCAAGCCCCCAGCCAGGCTCTGGTGTTGCCCAGCACGGTCAGATCCCTGCTCCAGCCCAGGGGATGTGTGCCCAGGGACGTGGCACAGCCCTGGGACACCGGGACGGCCCCGGTCACGCCGTCAGCCCTGGGAGCCGAGTGCCTTGGCATGGAAAACCAGGGAGGATCAAATTCCCAGCGGGTCCACGTGGCCCACGGGTTGGGATGAAACCTACACCCGTGGGGACGTCAGCAAGGGACAGGGACACGGGACACGGCCCCTCCAGACCCCCAGGGAGTGACAAATAAATCCTAAATGGAGCAAAGCCCCTGGGCCCGGAGCTGAGCCGGGGGTGAAGCCACCACAGCCCCCCCCCAGCCCAGCGTGGCCAGCCAGGGGGACGCCTGCCAGCCATCCCCGGGATTTGCTGGTGATTCCCCCCGATCAAATTCAGCTGCATCTTGGCTCCGGGGCCACGGGCAGCTGGAAACCCCTGGTGATTCCAGAGGAAAAGTCCCTCCCAGAGGAAAAGCCCCTCCCAGAGGAAAAGCCCCTCCCAGGCTCTGGCACCTGCCCTGCAGAAGGCTTGTGAACCTTGTCCCCTCTGTCCCAGGAGGGGAGGGGTCTGGCCCGTGCTGGGCCCCCAGTCCAGCCACTGGCTGCTCTTCCCACTTGCCAGTGATGGCACAACCCTCATCAGCCCTCCCCAGGTGATAATTCCCTACCCACTCCACCCCCATGCCAAATGGGATCTGGCTGGTCCCCTAGGAAAAGAAGATCCTTTAGGAAAAGTGTTGGGACACCACAGAAACCCTGGGACCCTCCCCATACCCAGGGGCCTTCCTCGAGCCCCAAATCCCACAGACCTTCTCCAGTTCCACAAAACATCCCTCAACCTTCCCTGACCACCCCAGACCTGCACTGGGGTCCAGGCAAGAGGGGACCCATCCCTGGAGCCCCCTCCATGCCCACAGTGAGCTCACCTGCCACTGCTGGGGCTGATAAGGCAAAAAAACCACCTTTTGCCTCCCAGATTTCGGAATCCCTCTGGGATGGGAGCACAGCAGAGGGGCTGTCACCCCACAGAACGTCCCTGCCCCTCTCCCATGGCAGGAGCCAAGGCAGCCACCCCGTTACACAGACACCTTTATTCTGGTCAGAGTGAAGGCTGGGCTGGGGGGCAGAGGGGGCAGCACCCCGGGGGGCACAGGGGTCACCCAGGGGTCACTCGGGGGTCACCCAGGGGGCCACGTGGGGATCAGTCCTTGGTCCCGGCCTGTGTGTGGGCAGAGGGGGGGTCTGCCCACCAAACCTCCCTCAGGGACCTACGTGGGACAAGGAGTGTCCCCAAGTGTGGAGGGAGCGATGAGAAGTGTCCCCAAGCATGGTGGGAGTGTTGAGGAGTGTCCCTAAGCAGTGTGGGAGTGATGAGAAGTGTCCCCAAGCACAGTGGGAGCAAAGAGAAATGTCCCTAAGTGTGGTGGGAGTGACGA